CTTTCCACACACACACACACACACACACACACTCATGCACACCACCTTTGAAAGCTTTTTCTGCCTTTCCCCAGACTCTAAATGTCAAGGGATAATTTGTTGTTGGTCAGAGCAAAAATTTGTCCATCATCGGAGGGTAGTATTTCTCCGGACTCAAGATTACGTCTTGCAAGATACGCTTACAGATACATCTTTCAATGGACATTTTTTGTCCACTGACATCTAGAGTTAGAGTGTACCGGGTCCCTTTTAAAGAATTATTCCTGCAGTTCAAGAACCTCCCTGCTCCGGGGAACGCTTAGGGGTTGGTAAATCCAGCCCTTCCCCATAAAGCCTCGCCGCTTGTACCGCGCGGTATCTCCGGGCTGCAGGCGCCGCGTTTCCTGTTTGCGCGACTGTGGCCGACTGTGCAGCCGCTTGCAGCTCATTATTGGCACTGCCCTGGAGCTTGTGAGTTCGTCCCCTCACTATCGCCACTGCTGCTGCAGTGGCTCTGTCCCCTCGACCCCATACAACAATTAATATTGCAGACGCCGGGCCGGGAGAGAGAGCCCAGTCCCAGACTATCATCCAGCAGCAACAGCACTGCACTCTGCTTATAAAAAATCAGAGGCTATCCACTGAAAAAGCTCGAGCCGGATACTTACTCTCAGGCGAGCGAGATGAGTGACACAAAAAATCTCACTCTCCTTCTCCTGAGATCGAGATATCTGACCCTCACTCAATTTGAGTCGGAATTTGCGATCCTCGCCCAATAATAGTGAGGTTTTCCCGAGGTCAGGGAAATCTTCCTATCCTTCACAGCGAGAATTCGGTGCACATGACTCAAATTGGGTGAGCCTTATAGTCATCGCTCTCATTGAGTGAGGCGAAATTGTCTTACTCATTTAGAGCACGACACTTCACTCAAAGGTTTTCAATGTTATTAGGGAACTTGGGTATGCTCTACGACGCGTCCGTGCAACAACATCCTATCTGTTTCGCTGCCCCAAAAGACTAGCCTATCTGTTTCGCTGCCACGAAAGACTAGCCTATCTGTTTTTCGGCGCTTTCTGCAGCGCTGTCTTCTTCTTATTGTGGGTTTGCCAATATTAACGGTAGATAAAAAGTAAAAACTGCTGCGTGTTCCCTAAAGATTAAGGAACAAGTTGCGATTTTTACTTTTTTTCTACTGTTAATATTAGCAAACAGACAATAAGAAGAAGGCAGCGCTGCAGAGAGCGCCGAAAAACAGATAGGCTAGTCTTTCGGGGCAGCAAAAAAGATAGGCTAGTCTTTCGGAGCAGCGAAACAGATAGGCTAGTCTTTCGGGGCAGCGAAACAGATAGGATATTGTTGCACGGACGCGTCGTCTAGTAACCGGTGAACGGAGCACGAGAGTACGGTGTTCTTCTGTTACATCTCGCAGTTCCATTTTGCTGTTACGATGACCCTATATTATCAGCGCTCATCCACCCCAGATTTGGAACATTTTGCTTACGGCGATGCCGTTTTTTTTTTCTGTGGGAGGAAGATTAATAATTAGCTGCTCACTGCCAGTCACTTTTACCGTCGCATTTGATTGCAGTGCGCGCGAGGTTCCGGCCCGATTGAGTCAATATGACGGCCTTCGCCCCCTCCCACGCAGCCGCCAGCAAACGAACCCTCTGCTGTCCTCGCAACCCAACTCCGCAACTCATCGTTTCCCGCGTTATATGCGCGGCACGCTGCATCATTGAGCACTGTCCGACACAATGGAGTTTCGGGCACAATGTTGGCAATATTGCACATGCGGCGAAATAAAAATGTAATGGCAAAGAAATTAATGCGCTGTTTCCCAGAGTAGTGGTGGTAGTGACGCTGTGAAATGGCCCATTACGCTGCTTCGGGGGCGGAGGAGGCTCGGCGGGACCCCACAAAGGGCTGGGCGGCCCAAGGAATGCAAGCGCCACGGTGGCCCGCCGCCCCCGCCGCCCCCAACCCCCTCCTCCCTGACTCGGTCGCGTATCGCCGGCCCACATCTTTTCCATTTCCGGTTCACAAGGAGCCCCCTCTCCGTCCCCACGCGCAGTGAACTCTCCCCTCCCCCCACACCTCATATACTCCTACCCACACTACGTAGCCGACATGCGGGGGTCGCCAGCACGACATGTGCAGAACTGGACCGCTGCTGGAAATAGATCAGCGTTGGGCATATTTTCGGATCTAGGTCTCGATTGGGATAGAACGCATGCAGCTTGGCAGAAGAGCTGAAAACTAACAAGGGTTATCACTGGTAAAACAAAGGTGTGAATTAACACCTTTCCAGGGGCGTTAAAGTCAAAAGGCGTGAACGTTTTATTTTTCCCAAATATTTTCTGATGAAGCAAACCAAGGTTTGTAGAACCTATATTTTCGTATTCAGCTCAAAATTCCGCTTCGATCAAGCCTACACGTGATAGGGTTCAAATCTCAAATGAAAGAAATTTAGTAGATTCCTAGGGTCACTTACCAGCACTTTTACCCTGAAAGAGGAGAGGGTACTTATTTCAGGCAATTCACTGCTCGCCTCCGTCCGTATATTAGTTCCAATACCATACGATAACATAATCCCAACTGCCATTAAGAAGTGTTCTATGTAGGAAACTTGTGGCGAATTGTCCACTCTTTCATGCAACCTGAACGCAATTTGCTTCTTTACATTAGCTACGTTAGCTAGTCTATGTCGTGGTGTGTAATTCATGATTCTTTCTGGATACACCAAAGTGTCTAAGCACGCGGGCACCGCCGGTCATTGGATAGGCTCTATCCCGTCGGTACCTAAATATTCATCTGATGTCCACCGTGCCACCTCCGCATAAAATAGTTAGCTGTGCCCGTCACTGTCTTTTCCCCTGGACCAACCCTCTCTTCCTCTCTTCCCGAAGCGGTGATGCAATCCGAGCCGCGCGACCGCCTCACTGCATGGCCATGGCGGGTAATTCAACAGCCCCAACTCGCCGCGCGTGTATTGTTTCCGGTCGTGTGCGAAGTGCGGAGTAGTGGGGAGTTGGAGTTGCGACAGAGAGAGAGAGAGAGAGAGAGAGAGAGAGAGAGAGAGAGAGAGAGAGAGAG